CATTAATTTTTAAGATTTTCTATTTTTGCACCTTGCAATTGTTTAATTAAAAACTAATTCTTCCTTCAATGGAGTTTATGTATTGCTTGGCTACCAGTAATCCAAGCAGGAACAAGAACCTTCTTCAAAATGATGATACTTTTTCCGATCTCTAACAGATATTTTCCTTTTGAAAACTTTAGAAATAAGCTTCATTGCCAAATGGCAATCATTACAGATCCGAATATTCTTAACAATCCTTATTACAGATCCAGGCCTAGTGCTGATTAACCCAAAAGCCAAAGCCAGCTTTTCACTGTGGTAACCAATCACAGTTTCCTTTTCCTCCTCTTCAATGTCAAATATAACCCCTCTTGTCTCAGCCTTATAGCCGTAGTTCTTTATCTTTTTAACAACTTCTTCCCACACCATGTAGATCTCCTTTGTTCTGTCATGGGATCTATCTCCAGCCAAGAACTCCTGAACAACACCATCCACTTCAATCAAGCTATACCCAGGGACACGTTCTATGTTTTTGACTCCCATGGATTTTCTGACTTCTTCAGCGTCTTCACGGTTCATGGTTTTAGCATAGATATTGGACAGTAGAATGTAACAACCATCATGGTTTTGATCAGATTCTATCAGCATATTCCCAACCCTTTGACCCATCTGATCATTACCATGAACTCTGCAGGCACCAAGGAGGGTCCCCCAGATAACATTATCAGGTTTCATTGGCATTGAAGCAATGAAATTTTCTGCCTCCTCCAACAAGCCAGCACGGCCAAGAAGATCAACCATGCAGGCATAGTGATCCAACTCTGGTTTAATTTCATGAACATCAAGCATTGAATGAAAGTAGTGAAAACCCTTCTCAACCCATCCCATGTGACTACATGCGCATAAAACTGCCACGTAAGAGACACTATCAGGTGAGATGCCCTCACTTTTCATTTGCTCAAAAAGCTGAAATGCTTCTATACCTCGTCCATTCATTGCCAGGCCAGAAATGGCACTTGTGTAAGATGAAACATCTTTCTCCTTAGATGAATGAAATACCTGCATTGCTAAATCAATACTGCCACATTTTGCATACATGTCAACTAAAGCTGCACTAAGTGTTGAATCAACATTTACACATTTCTTTTGGATGTAAGAGTAAACCCAGTTCCCATGATCCAAAGCTCCCAACTGTGAGCATGCACAAAGCACACTCACCAAAATTGCAGAGTTTGGTTCCAAATCCAATAACTGCATCTCTCTAAACAAAGCCAAAGCTTCTTTTGGTCGCCCATTCTGAGCATAGCCAGAAATCATCACCACCCAAGAAACCAAACTCTTGCATGGCATCTCCTTAAAAACTCTACAAGCATCATCCAAGAAACCGAACTTAACCAATCCACAAAGCACACCATTCCAAGAAACCTCATTTCTGTGAGGCATTTTGTCGAACAACTCAAGACCCTCTGAAATTTCACCATTCTTTATGTATCCATTGATCATTGAATTCCACGACACTACATCAATATCCATACTCTCATCAAATACGCATCTGGCATCTCTCAATTTCCCACAAACCGAGTATAACTGTATCACAGAATTTTTCACAAACACATCCAAAGCAAAAGAATTTTTAACCACCATCCCATGTAACTGCCTACCCAAATCAAAATCACCACAGTTAGCACAACCCTGAAACAAAAACGTAAATGTAAAGTTATTAGGGATAATATTCAAGTCAATCATTCTATAAAACACAAAGCAAGAGGTCGACAAAGAGTGGGGGCGGCGGGCGCGTGCAAGGCCACGAATGAGGGTGTTGAAGAGAAATATTTGAGGGGGTGTGGACGATTGAAAAAGAAGAAGAAGGGCGTAATGGATATCACCAAAAGGATTAAGGGCAGCAAAAGATATGGTGGGTCTTAGAGAGCGCGGTGGGTGGTTTAAGCCTCTAATTAAGAGCTGAGAGTGTGTTTGTTTCAATTGTTGAATGGTTTTGCACTTGAAAAGAAGCGATGTGAATGGAATGTTGGGTGGTGCCATTGTGGTCAGCGTCACTGTTACCGTTAAATGGCGGGAAGAGATACCATTTTAGTCCTTTCTTTAAAAAAAAATATAAATAAAAAGTCTTTTTGCAAAATTTTGTTTTGTCGTTTATAACATCAAGTTGCGTCGGTCTGAAAGCTCATGTTTTTAACTTTTGAGTATTTAATATCTCAACTTGAAAGTCAAGTAACCCAGAAGAGGAATTATTGTAATAACTTAACCATGATCCAACCAAAACTGAATTGGACGAAATCAAATTTGCCAACAACACCAAAGCACAATCGAACAAATCTACACAGCTAGATACAAATCATCTTCTTTGGACCCACTTCCCATTTTCCAACTAATCAATATCAATATTTACCTTTTTCATCTATAAATCTTATCCCAAATCCAATCAATCATTAGAACCTAATATTTCCTTCATTATAATAAACCCTTGTTAGTCCACGTGTCAGATTAATGTGTGAGTATAACTCCCTAGAGTTTCAGAATTATTGATGAAACAATTAGATAGAATCAGCCAGGTAAGCAAAAATGGGGAAGAGAAAAAAAAAAAGGTATAGGAAGAGATCTCGTCTGGCTGTGTCCTTGTCTCTTCAGCTCTGTCTCTCTCTGTCTGCTTAGGCTTATTGCCAGTCTGTCATCTCCCTCTGTTTATTTATTAACAAGTTTTAAGTTCCAAGTCTCTCTCTTTATATATTATATACATAAATACTCTTAAATACTGTTTGTTTCTTCAGCTTCTGTTTTCTCGCTGTAGGTGGCTAGAAAATGAGTCTCTTCGGCCTTGGAAGCAGGTATTTTTAGCATTTATCGATAGCTTTTTGGTGGATGATGATGATCTTTTTTATATTCTTTTATGTTTGATCATAATTCGATGTAATATGGCGTTGTGTTAGTAGTTTATATAATCTCTCCTCCAATATGGGAACTGGCAATTAAACAATTGAGTTTCACGTTCAAACTGGAACTTGATTGGTTGTAGGCGTTACACTCGTTTCAAATTTGTTCATAAATTGTATGCAATTTATGATATGATACAGTAAGAAAAGGGTATTTTAACTGAAAGTTTTCGTGACGATAGTGAATATAAATACTGTTTTGTGTCATGGATGGCTCTGATTTGACAATATCTAGCGGTTCATGTATCATATTGAACTTTGCCTAATTATGCAGAAATCAGAGGACTTTTCGCCCTAAAAAGAATGCTCCTTCAGGAAGTAAGGTTGGTGTTATTACTAATTATGGAAATGTGCTTTATAGGATACCTAGTCTTTGAGTTGACTCAATGCATCTTTTATGCAAATTCAGGGTGCTCAACTTCAAAAGCATATTGATGTAACCTTGGGTAGTGGGAACTTTAGAGAAGCTGTTAGATTACCTCCCGGAGAAGATATTAATGAGTGGCTGGCCGTAAACAGTAAGGACTTCAACATTTGGGTTTCTTGACTACAAATTTTCTGTTCACATGATTGCAAATTCTGTGTAAATTTATCATTCAGTATCTGCTTTGGGAATCTCCTCCCTCAGATTAATATCCAGATGAGCTTAAAATAATTTCTGCAACTGCATTTGATTATATTATGTGTTCTTTTTCTACAGCTGTAGATTTCTTCAACCAAGTAAATATTCTGTATGGTACCCTAACTGAATTCTGCACACCATCGGACTGCCCATCCATGACAGCTGGACCAACGTATAATTCTGATCCCTTGACCCTTCTAAATTTCTATTTAAAATAGTTAATGCATTTAGAATCTTACTAATTATCATCAAATTAGCTCAAAGTTATTCTTGCTCTGTTTAGCCTATTACTGTAATTCTTCATAGGCAAATGAATCAAGGGCTATTTTTCTAGTATTCATATATGCATGCACTGAATTATTGTCTACTTCTTACAGATACAAGTATAGATGGGCGGATGGAGTTACGATTAAGAATCCAATAGAGGTGTCTGCTCCTAAATATGTTGAGTATCTGATGGACTGGATTGAAGTTCAGCTAGATGATGAATCAATTTTCCCACAAAAATTGGGTGAGTTAAAATTTGTTAAAGAGGCAAGACGTGTTTGTATTGAAATATTTGTTGTTCATTAATATAAATGTTATGCGCTGCAGGAGCACCCTTTCCTCCAAATTTTCGCGATTTTGTTAAGACAATTTTTAAGAGATTGTTCCGCGTATATGCCCACATCTATCACTCACATTTCCAGAAGATCGTGAGTTTGAAGGAAGAAGCTCATCTAAATACTTGCTTTAAACATTTTGTCCTCTTTACATGGGTAAGTTCATCTACTGTCATGTGTGTGTCATCAACACATACTACTAAATTACTTTCCATTTCCTCATTCTTTTCTAGGAGCACAAGATCTCCTTCTGTTTATTTTCTTAAAATTCTCATATGCTTAATAAATTCATGTGTTAATTAATTTTTGCTGTCTTGGGAAATATCTAATTGTCTGTAATGTGATGCAGGAATTTCGCTTGATTGAAATAGCTCAGCTTGCACCTCTTTATGACCTTGTAGAGTCGATTTTGCAGTTATAGTATTGGCAGAAATGTGTTTTTTTTTTTTTAAACTTGATTGTTTCTTTCTGGGTAACATTTTTGCAAGGTTCCGTCTGCCCATGTAATTTTTTTGTGTTGAATGAGATGCCTTCTTTCTATCAGCATTCCTTCTCTGTTAATTTCTATTTGTTCATGGTGAATGAAGCATTTCATTTTTAAGGTTTAGTTTGGGATTGCTGTAACTTTTTTTATAATCTCTTATTTCTAAAGCAATGATCCGTTAAATACATTTCAAAAGTTACATTCACTAAAGCTGCACAAGTATTGAATCAACATTTACACATTTCTTTTGGTGTAAGAGTAAACCCAGTTCCCATGATCCAAAGCTCCCAACTGTGAGCATGCAAAGCACACTCACCAAAATTGCAGAGTTTGGTTCCAAATCCAATAACTGCATCTCTCTACAAAGCCAAAGCTTCTTTGGTCGCCCATTCTGAGCATAGCCAGAAATCATCACCACCCAGAAACCAAACTCTTGCATGGCATCTCCTTAAAAACTCTACAAGCATCATCCAAGAAACCGAACTTAACCAATCCACAAAGCACACATTCCAAGAAACCTCATTTCTGTGAGGCATTTTGTCGAACAACTCAAGACCCTCTGAAATTTCACCATTCTTTATGTATCCATTGATCATTGAATTCCACGACACTACATCAATATCCATACTCTCATCAAATACGCACTGGCATCTCTCAATTTCCCACAAACCGAGTATAGCTGTATCACAGAATTTTTCACAAACACATCCAAACAAAGAATTTTTAACCACCATCCATGTAACTGCCTACCCAAATCAAAATCACCACAGTTAGCACAACCCTGAAACAAAAACGTAAATGTAAAGTTATTAGGGATAATATCAAGTCAATCATTCTATAAAACAAAGCAAGAGGTCGACAAAGAGTGGGGGCGGCGGGCGCGTGCAAGGCCACGAATGGAGGTGTTGAAGAGAATATTTGAGGGGTGTGGACGATTGAAAAAGAAGAGAAGGGCGTAATGGATATCACCAAAAGGATTAAGGGCAGCAAAAGATATGTGGGTCTTAGAGAGCGCGGTGGTGGTTTAAGCCTCTAATTAAGAGCTGAGAGTGGTTTGTTTCAATTGTTGAATGGTTTGCACTTGAAAAGAAGCGATGTGAAGGAATGTTGGTGGTGCCATTGTGGTCAGCGTCACTGTTACCGTTAAATGGCGGGAAGAGATACCATTTTAGTCCTTTCTTAAAAAAAAATATAAATAAAAGTCTTTTTGCAAAATTTTTTTGTCGTTTATAACATCAAGTTGGCGTCTGAAAGCTCATGTTTTTACTTTTGAGTATTTATATCTCAACTGAAAGTCAAGTAACCCGAAGGAATTATTGTAATAACTTAACCATGATCCAACCAAAACTGATTGGACGAAATCAAATTTGCCAACAACACCAAACACATCAACAAATCTACACAGCTGATACAAATCATCGCAAATAACAACACCAAGAAGTAGCACCTAAGCAACATAATTGATCCTCAATAGCAAATAAATGCACCATCTAACCAGGACCCAAGCAACCAAACAAACCCCAAACTGGAACTGTACCAAACAGGCAACACCCAAGCAACATGAATTTTGAAACAGCCCTGCAAGTTTTCAATCCTACAAACACACCCTCAAATAAAACCATGTAGGTTTGAAAAACTACATACAGGCCCCTGCGACTGGGTTTCTTCAAGTGGGTGCGATTTGAATAGATCTACAAATCTAAAAAGATCGGTGGCAAAAGGTGAGCGAAACTGGAGATCTAACCGGATCTAAATGCCCCGGGAGGCTTTGATACCAAGTTGTCAAGTTGTTTTGGTGAGAAGAGTCTATTATATTATGTCTGAAATAAATACACATATATATTGTTTAATAGGAATGATAATCCCACTAACTTAATAATGTGGGACAAAGATAACTTCTAACAAAAAGACCCAATTAGGAAGCCTTAGACTATACCTTGAGCTTAAGCCCAAATATAATAATATAATTAACAACATTTATATGACACTATGACAGGGCCTTAAATAAAGCAATAAAGCTGTGAGCAGTCGAGATAAAGATGTACTCTACCACCGTAAGGGAAGCAAGAAAGAATGGGAATTAGATCTATCCGAAACTTAATTATAGATTTGGTTTGCAGTATCCTTCACTTCATTATAATTGCTAGCACCATAAACATTCAGCTTATTTATTTATTGATCTATAATAAGAAAGAAAACACACACACACACACACACACACACACACACATATATATATATATGGGGCGATGACATTGTATGCATTATATTTCTTTTCAAACTGAGCATAAATTCAATGAAGTTACATAAATCTTACAATCTTTTGTGTTAAACATACAAGTTCTTGACCATTTCAACAGTCAACTTGAAAAACTATAGCAGTAATGAACAGCTGACCTGTATACGAATTTTGAATGAAACTGAGATCAAAATTTAAGATCATAGAGTGGCTGCTTCTTGAACTATCTAGGTAATCAATGAATAAGAGGTTTCCCTCGTTTAACCAAGAGAAATATAGGCACGTCAGCCGGTCTCTATGCTTACCCCCCGTATTCTCATTTCAAGGGGTAGCCCGCACCTAGTATCATTCATTGGGAATGACCATCCAAGTGTTCGGTTAAGCTGATTCTATATGGACGAGAGGAAACCCAATGAGAAGCCCAGGTCAGATTGAGGAATTTCAAATCAAGGCTCGAAGCACATCTGATCTTCTGTGGAGCTTAGTCTCAAGAAAGGATTCATGTAGCTAGAGATGCAGGCAGCCCTTTGGATAAGATTTGTGACTTCAAATCTTGCCAACTTTATGGTATCTCGTTAGGGTGACCGGTGCATTAATTTTTAAGATTTTCTATTTTTGCACCTTGCAATTGTTTAATTAAAAACTAATTCTTCCTTCAATGGAGTTTATGTATTGCTTGGCTACCAGTAATCCAAGCAGGAACAAGAACCTTCTTCAAAATGATGATACTTTTTCCGATCTCTAACAGATATTTTCCTTTTGAAAACTTTAGAAATAAGCTTCATTGCCAAATGGCAATCATTACAGATCCGAATATTCTTAACAATCCTTATTACAGATCCAGGCCTAGTGCTGATTAACCCAAAAGCCAAAGCCAGCTTTTCACTGTGGTAACCAATCACAGTTTCCTTTTCCTCCTCTTCAATGTCAAATATAACCCCTCTTGTCTCAGCCTTATAGCCGTAGTTCTTTATCTTTTTAACAACTTCTTCCCACACCATGTAGATCTCCTTTGTTCTGTCATGGGATCTATCTCCAGCCAAGAACTCCTGAACAACACCATCCACTTCAATCAAGCTATACCCAGGGACACGTTCTATGTTTTTGACTCCCATGGATTTTCTGACTTCTTCAGCGTCTTCACGGTTCATGGTTTTAGCATAGATATTGGACAGTAGAATGTAACAACCATCATGGTTTTGATCAGATTCTATCAGCATATTCCCAACCCTTTGACCCATCTGATCATTACCATGAACTCTGCAGGCACCAAGGAGGGTCCCCCAGATAACATTATCAGGTTTCATTGGCATTGAAGCAATGAAATTTTCTGCCTCCTCCAACAAGCCAGCACGGCCAAGAAGATCAACCATGCAGGCATAGTGATCCAACTCTGGTTTAATTTCATGAACATCAAGCATTGAATGAAAGTAGTGAAAACCCTTCTCAACCCATCCCATGTGACTACATGCGCATAAAACTGCCACGTAAGAGACACTATCAGGTGAGATGCCCTCACTTTTCATTTGCTCAAAAAGCTGAAATGCTTCTATACCTCGTCCATTCATTGCCAGGCCAGAAATGGCACTTGTGTAAGATGAAACATCTTTCTCCTTAGATGAATGAAATACCTGCATTGCTAAATCAATACTGCCACATTTTGCATACATGTCAACTAAAGCTGCACTAAGTGTTGAATCAACATTTACACATTTCTTTTGGATGTAAGAGTAAACCCAGTTCCCATGATCCAAAGCTCCCAACTGTGAGCATGCACAAAGCACACTCACCAAAATTGCAGAGTTTGGTTCCAAATCCAATAACTGCATCTCTCTAAACAAAGCCAAAGCTTCTTTTGGTCGCCCATTCTGAGCATAGCCAGAAATCATCACCACCCAAGAAACCAAACTCTTGCATGGCATCTCCTTAAAAACTCTACAAGCATCATCCAAGAAACCGAACTTAACCAATCCACAAAGCACACCATTCCAAGAAACCTCATTTCTGTGAGGCATTTTGTCGAACAACTCAAGACCCTCTGAAATTTCACCATTCTTTATGTATCCATTGATCATTGAATTCCACGACACTACATCAATATCCATACTCTCATCAAATACGCATCTGGCATCTCTCAATTTCCCACAAACCGAGTATAACTGTATCACAGAATTTTTCACAAACACATCCAAAGCAAAAGAATTTTTAACCACCATCCCATGTAACTGCCTACCCAAATCAAAATCACCACAGTTAGCACAACCCTGAAACAAAAACGTAAATGTAAAGTTATTAGGGATAATATTCAAGTCAATCATTCTATAAAACACAAAGCAAGAGGTCGACAAAGAGTGGGGGCGGCGGGCGCGTGCAAGGCCACGAATGAGGGTGTTGAAGAGAAATATTTGAGGGGGTGTGGACGATTGAAAAAGAAGAAGAAGGGCGTAATGGATATCACCAAAAGGATTAAGGGCAGCAAAAGATATGGTGGGTCTTAGAGAGCGCGGTGGGTGGTTTAAGCCTCTAATTAAGAGCTGAGAGTGTGTTTGTTTCAATTGTTGAATGGTTTTGCACTTGAAAAGAAGCGATGTGAATGGAATGTTGGGTGGTGCCATTGTGGTCAGCGTCACTGTTACCGTTAAATGGCGGGAAGAGATACCATTTTAGTCCTTTCTTTAAAAAAAAATATAAATAAAAAGTCTTTTTGCAAAATTTTGTTTTGTCGTTTATAACATCAAGTTGCGTCGGTCTGAAAGCTCATGTTTTTAACTTTTGAGTATTTAATATCTCAACTTGAAAGTCAAGTAACCCAGAAGAGGAATTATTGTAATAACTTAACCATGATCCAACCAAAACTGAATTGGACGAAATCAAATTTGCCAACAACACCAAAGCACAATCGAACAAATCTACACAGCTAGATACAAATCATCTTCTTTGGACCCACTTCCCATTTTCCAACTAATCAATATCAATATTTACCTTTTTCATCTATAAATCTTATCCCAAATCCAATCAATCATTAGAACCTAATATTTCCTTCATTATAATAAACCCTTGTTAGTCCACGTGTCAGATTAATGTGTGAGTATAACTCCCTAGAGTTTCAGAATTATTGATGAAACAATTAGATAGAATCAGCCAGGTAAGCAAAAATGGGGAAGAGAAAAAAAAAAAGGTATAGGAAGAGATCTCGTCTGGCTGTGTCCTTGTCTCTTCAGCTCTGTCTCTCTCTGTCTGCTTAGGCTTATTGCCAGTCTGTCATCTCCCTCTGTTTATTTATTAACAAGTTTTAAGTTCCAAGTCTCTCTCTTTATATATTATATACATAAATACTCTTAAATACTGTTTGTTTCTTCAGCTTCTGTTTTCTCGCTGTAGGTGGCTAGAAAATGAGTCTCTTCGGCCTTGGAAGCAGGTATTTTTAGCATTTATCGATAGCTTTTTGGTGGATGATGATGATCTTTTTTATATTCTTTTATGTTTGATCATAATTCGATGTAATATGGCGTTGTGTTAGTAGTTTATATAATCTCTCCTCCAATATGGGAACTGGCAATTAAACAATTGAGTTTCACGTTCAAACTGGAACTTGATTGGTTGTAGGCGTTACACTCGTTTCAAATTTGTTCATAAATTGTATGCAATTTATGATATGATACAGTAAGAAAAGGGTATTTTAACTGAAAGTTTTCGTGACGATAGTGAATATAAATACTGTTTTGTGTCATGGATGGCTCTGATTTGACAATATCTAGCGGTTCATGTATCATATTGAACTTTGCCTAATTATGCAGAAATCAGAGGACTTTTCGCCCTAAAAAGAATGCTCCTTCAGGAAGTAAGGTTGGTGTTATTACTAATTATGGAAATGTGCTTTATAGGATACCTAGTCTTTGAGTTGACTCAATGCATCTTTTATGCAAATTCAGGGTGCTCAACTTCAAAAGCATATTGATGTAACCTTGGGTAGTGGGAACTTTAGAGAAGCTGTTAGATTACCTCCCGGAGAAGATATTAATGAGTGGCTGGCCGTAAACAGTAAGGACTTCAACATTTGGGTTTCTTGACTACAAATTTTCTGTTCACATGATTGCAAATTCTGTGTAAATTTATCATTCAGTATCTGCTTTGGGAATCTCCTCCCTCAGATTAATATCCAGATGAGCTTAAAATAATTTCTGCAACTGCATTTGATTATATTATGTGTTCTTTTTCTACAGCTGTAGATTTCTTCAACCAAGTAAATATTCTGTATGGTACCCTAACTGAATTCTGCACACCATCGGACTGCCCATCCATGACAGCTGGACCAACGTATAATTCTGATCCCTTGACCCTTCTAAATTTCTATTTAAAATAGTTAATGCATTTAGAATCTTACTAATTATCATCAAATTAGCTCAAAGTTATTCTTGCTCTGTTTAGCCTATTACTGTAATTCTTCATAGGCAAATGAATCAAGGGCTATTTTTCTAGTATTCATATATGCATGCACTGAATTATTGTCTACTTCTTACAGATACAAGTATAGATGGGCGGATGGAGTTACGATTAAGAATCCAATAGAGGTGTCTGCTCCTAAATATGTTGAGTATCTGATGGACTGGATTGAAGTTCAGCTAGATGATGAATCAATTTTCCCACAAAAATTGGGTGAGTTAAAATTTGTTAAAGAGGCAAGACGTGTTTGTATTGAAATATTTGTTGTTCATTAATATAAATGTTATGCGCTGCAGGAGCACCCTTTCCTCCAAATTTTCGCGATTTTGTTAAGACAATTTTTAAGAGATTGTTCCGCGTATATGCCCACATCTATCACTCACATTTCCAGAAGATCGTGAGTTTGAAGGAAGAAGCTCATCTAAATACTTGCTTTAAACATTTTGTCCTCTTTACATGGGTAAGTTCATCTACTGTCATGTGTGTGTCATCAACACATACTACTAAATTACTTTCCATTTCCTCATTCTTTTCTAGGAGCACAAGATCTCCTTCTGTTTATTTTCTTAAAATTCTCATATGCTTAATAAATTCATGTGTTAATTAATTTTTGCTGTCTTGGGAAATATCTAATTGTCTGTAATGTGATGCAGGAATTTCGCTTGATTGAAATAGCTCAGCTTGCACCCCTTCATGACCTTGTAGAGTCGATTTTGCAGTTATAGTATTGGCAGAAATGTGTTTTTTTTTTTTTAAACTTGATTGTTTCTTTCTGGGTAACATTTTTGAAAGGTTCCGTTTGCCCATGTAATTTTTTTGTGTTGAATGAGATGCCTTCTTTCTATCAGCAATCCTTCTCTGTTAATTTCTATTTGTTCATGGTGAATGAAGCATTTCATTTTTAAGGTTTAGTTTGGGATTGCTGTAACTGTTTTTATAATCTCTTATTTCTAAAGCAATGATCCGATAAATACATTTCAAAAGTGATTATGGAACAATCTATTTTATTGAATGAACTATTTCTTAAAATTTTATTCCCACATCCCCCACGGGTTTTCTCTGCACAAAAGACACAGTTAAAGAATTGTTTTTTAAATTATTTAAATAATGTTAAAATAATAAAAAAAACCAGTTGCCTCCCACAGATCTGGGCGTCGTCAACAGCGGAGCGTCTAACGATACTACTGACACTGTTGGGTTGATCGTCGCTAGACTAGACGATCTACCCAACGGTGGATGGTGGTAATGATGAATCCTCTATCAATGATGCTTCATCGGAAAGATTCGGCGAATCTTTTTTGGCTCTTTCCAACGAAATGTTGTCAACTAAGTTCTTGCCATTATCACCATTGGGTAGATCATTCGGCGATGTCATCGGACTTGCTCCATAAACTCGCCGACGAGTTTCAAATTTGTTATTTTAAAATACATATGATTATTTATTTAAACCTTTAAATAATTTAATTTTTTAATTAAATATTTATTAAATCAATGTGTTGTTGTCATCTTTTAATTTTAATTTATGACTTAATTGTAAACACAAATTTATGACAGTTGATCCGGCGGATCAAGGAAATTCACTGGGGTAAAATATAAAAAAAAAAAAAACCACTCATAACCACACTTTTTTTTTTTTTAATTACGATGAGTTTTAATAAAAAATTATAAAATATAAATAAATATCTTCAAAAAACGCAATTTTTATAAAAATAAAACAAATTTTCTACAATTATCGTCGATAAGTTTTTATATTCTGAAAACGTTGGATAATCATCTCATTGTCAATTGTATCAAATACATCTTTCTCAATATAGATGACCAAGCAATCATTCATCCATTGATCTCTTATTTGATTGCATAACCGACTTTTCACAAGATTCATGGTAGAAAAAGCCCTTTCAACAGTTGTAGTCATAGCTGATAAAATCAATGCAACTTTCACAAACTTATATACCAACGTATGCAAAATATCTTTTTTAAACCGAACTAAATTCTTAACCAAATCACCAATTCTTTGTAACTCAGCAAATTCATCACAAAAACATATGTCAATGACATAAATCTCGACCTAGTTCTCAAGTACTATCAACTCAAGTGCAGAAAAATCAAATGGATAAAACTGACCAAACTCATTCTTTTCTCTCTTCCCTTTTTCCTTTTCCTTTGCTCCTTCTTCTTTTTCTAGATTTTTTGTCATTTTTGGGGAACAACCCAGTTTATATATAAAACAACTTCTTTGAATTATAAAACTATCCCAAGATTATCACCATGATCTCGCCACATTAGCTTTTTGATGTAAAAATGCCCAGACTTCTCCCCTCAGTTAAATGCAAACCCAACAGCTCTTATTTCTTTCATTTTCACTCCTAATAAAATTTTAAAAACTAACAGATCCTCTTGCGTAAAAATAAAAATCACAAAAAATATAAAATATAAAATATATATATTAGGATTAAAATTAGGGTTTTATAAAAATAAAATCCAAACTTATTATCGGGGCTGTTCCATTCCCAAAATCTCATAATTCTATAAACGTAAAATTTAAATAAATATAAAATCTAAACTTTTTAAAAGTAGAGTAGGACTGTAGTCTCTCTAGTAATTAATTGGATACGCCGCTGATCTAGCATAATCCAATAGTTTAAAAGTTGATGAGATGACAATGAAAATAATCATCTTCAACTTCCATCTCATATCCGTTAGATTGCAATAAATCAATAGTCATGAATTTGTATTTCAATTTGTCATAAATTAAAGTTAAAAGATTCCCATCTCTAAATTAATTAATTATATTTAGCCCTATATTACACCCAACAGTAATAAATTTAATTTATTTCAATCTTTTTCAATTCACCGCAATCATATACAAAACAATTAATTTATATATATTTAAAAAATGATCTTATTAAAATATTTTAATTAATTTGGTATACTTAATTTAATTTCATAATTAAAATTATATATATTATATTGAATGATAATTAACATTTTGTTTATAATATAAAAATAATTACTTGTTGGGTCAACCTACTGTGACTTTATTTTTTGATATTCTTTATGAACCATTTATCGTTATTGATAGGAGTTGGCATTAACTGTGACTGCCTTTAACCTTTATCTTGCCATCGTTGGATTAATAAAAATGAACAGTTCATAATAAGTATAAAAAATTAACCCTTAAAATAATTAATATATCTCCAGTTCAAGTTTATTATAATTAATTACTATATAAATATCATGATTATTAATATAAATAATTTAAAATAATTATTAATAAAATCAAGATGATATGAATGGTTCTGAGTATTTTATAATTTAAAAATAAATATTCAATTAATTTAAAAAGTTGTTAAATATTTTTAATATAACTATTTTATCCAATCTTATACTTCACCAAACCATAGACACTGTACTATTCTAATCCTATTCCAAATCCAATCATATCCCAAAACGTAATCCAATCCAATGCAATCCAAATCATAGACTGTACTGTATTAAAGAAATAAAGTATTACTTATACAAAGGTTGGGACAAATAGATATCATGAAAAATTAATTACGATGGATTTACTTCAGTGTTATTAAAATGTTATGTCAAACAGGGATGATAGATAAAAGACTTCTTCCTATTATTAAAATAGAAAAGACTTCAGTTCAAATATATATATATATATATATATATATATATATATCCCAAAGTAACCATTCTTAGTTATGACTTAATTGTTGTCTGTAATGCATTTACTTAAATATTAGCCTGCAATTAAAACTTTTGAAATCATATTTCAGTAGTATTAATATTATCTTCTAAGAACCAATTACTCAATTTGCAAGTACAAAGTACAAACATACCCTTCAATAAAATTCAATAGAGATCTCTCTCATTCATGGCATGGATGTCTACATTTCATTTCACCTGTGTATTCCCTTGAAAATGATATATATACCATTGGCTTTTCTTCTTTTTCTTTTCCCAACTAATGTAAGTCGTTCATCTCTCCTGAAGCTGAATTTGGATATGTAAAATTTGCCTCCTCCGAAGACAAATTATACCTTAAGCACTGCCACCTCACCTACCCATCTCTTGCTTCAACTTCAACTCAAATCATATAATTCCATTTCCAAATCTCCTTTCATTTTACCACCTATCTATTTCATGTAGTTTCGCAAATACATCCTGGAAATGGATTCGCATAAAAACTCTCCTCCAGCTTCGGAAACTCTCCAGCCTCCCTAAGATATGGAGCTCCATCTCTGTCTTTGTGTAGCTTTTTCACTTTCGAACTGAATTTCTTCCATGAAATTTTTCCTTCATCATATTCATCAACAAGTTTGACAAAATTCATCCTGAAAAGTAGGTTTCAATGAAATTATTATTCACACGTTTAGGATGGAAATCGACAACATGAGCTAAGATGGGTCAGAATTTTACTTGTCTGGATTGATAGTCTTCTTGAAGTTCTCAAACCGCCTATGACCTTGAACTGCCTTTGCCATATTTCCATCATAGGTATATAGAAATACATCACTCTGTAGCGCAACTACATAGTCTAAACCAGCCAACATGTTCTGGTGATTTTCAAAAGAATTCAATTCTTCTTCTGTACAGAGAGTGGAATGAGAGTATATGTTAGGAAAGGCATCGTTAAGATATTGCATGCTTCCTTCCCCGTAAGCTTCACCAGCTACCAAATAAATCCTGGTGCTGGCTGGGAAACCCAGCCCTCTGAGCAGAAGTGAAGTCTCTCTAGGGGTCAATGGGCAGCCGCCAAGCAATCTTTTTTCTGTTCCATTAATCTCCTTCTCCTTCCAATGGTTAACTTCGTATCGCATCCTACGAAGCTCATCATCTTCTTCCACTGTCAAATTATGACTGCACCCCGTAAATGCAAGCATATCCTTTTCGTACCTATAACAAAAAAGAGCAAGCATAATCTATCACACAGGTTGAAGACAAAACTAAATTTTTTCATTTAATATCTTTATGGGAATTTGAACATTTAGTGGTTTCGATCAGAAATCAGTAGCTGAGTTTAGCATGAGTTCAGGTACACCGAGTAACAGTTCAGAGATAACAACATATTATTAGAAAACCTAGAAGTCAAAATAAAGCTTCCCATTTTGTATAGACCCCGGGGACAATCAGATCACATTCCCTAATGCCATAAGCTCTAAACTCACAAACTAAAAGGTAGTTCTGCAAAATCATATTCAAATCTAAATCAATTTTGTCTAGATTGAAACCGAAAAGTGACTGAGCCTGCGTTTGTCTCGGAATGATGCAATTGATTCTCAAGAAAATCAGATAAAGAAGACAGTTTAAAGTTTCTATTTATTTGCGGTCAGGACTCAGAACTGTAGATATTATAGTGGGATTTAATTTCATGAACAAAAATATAAAAAGTTAGTATTATTGATAGCCTTTAGAAAAACAAAATGGAACATCTGACTTCAAAAAAGAGAGAGCAAATTAATACACACATTATATTTTTTTTAAAAGGTCAAGCCAGAAACACCCCAAGGAAAAAAGAAAAATTTTCCACCTCACTCAGTCTTAGAAATAAAGTATCAGAACTCGCCTCAAATGAAGAGCAAGATATGGGCCCCCATTTTCTTGCATTCTAGAAACCAAGGTATTTCCCAGTTGTTCTATGGGGGCTGAATACTTTAATGCCCTATAATTTACACGGCACCTCAGCTTTTGTATGGATCTTGGGATTCCATTGTTGGCAATCCGAGAATCAGTATGGGTAAAATAGATTACTTTGTGCTGCTTCAACAATGGGAGCACCTCTGTTTTGTAATAACTAACCTGAACAAAAGAATTCAAGTTAATAGATTATTACTCCATCTCAGAGAAGATTACAACAATAAGAGTTATATAGCAAAGAAACTTCAAACAATGGCAAATCATAATCACTTGTATGCTGGTGTGAATATCTTAATTATTTAAAGTGCATTGGCTGTTTTAATGACATGTGGCTTAGTGCCTTACTCTAGTAGTAAACATAAGACCCACATTTACTGGGATGTGCCGATGGTGTTTTGTCCTGCAGATGCTGAGCAGCTAAATTATAGTTAAAACATGTACTGACCTTAGACCAAGATATCGGTGTTTTCTTGAAAGGCTCAATAGAAGCATAGGCAGGTGGTAATGTCTCAACTACATGGATATCACCCTCAAGTGTTTTGATGAAATGTTTCCAATCAAACAGATCTTTGAAGCCACTGCAGTGTATAAATGAGATGGATTACATTATGATAGATCATTACAGAAAAACCAAGAGATATTTAGTAGTATTTATTAGTTATACTAGATGTCACACAGAAATAATTTTTGTTTCAGAAAGAATGCAAATACAACTTCCAAAATGACAAATGTATGTGCCAAATGTTTAAGGTAGCAAGAGAGTAAAAGAGAGGAGCAAATGGTAAAATTTCTGGATTATGAATCCACTTTGCATACAATTTAGCACAGGATGTTCAAAACTTAACCACAATTTTCAGTGACAAAGTTATTCAACATTCAAGAATCGAATTAAATGTCATTGGTTAATCAGCAATGCTAAAAGTTGAGTTTTGATGTTTATACATGTTAAAAGAACTAAAATGACAAACAACATTTCAGATATCTTAATTGAAGAAGTGCATAGATGAATCAAACCTCTCATCAGCCCAGTAAGAGGTATGATCAAGCATAGGAAGGACAAGCGTCGCCTTCATTATCTTAGCAACGGCAACCATATCACAAATCTGCACTATAAAATTACAGATACATCAGATAAGTTGTACCACACAACATAACCCTAGAGAAATCATAAAACACACAACAGCCAGACCCCAAATCTCATCTGGTTCAAGCCGCCATTAGCATTAATGAGAATGTAGCCATTTGTCTTTGCATCTAGCTCTGCCAAGAGAAAAAAGAATTAGGAACTAAGAGGATGCTAAAAACATAAGGAACACAAACACAAAGTACAAGTTTCATACTTTTGTGATTTTTCGGATTGCCAATGCACTGGGTGAAATTCTCGCTGTTAGGCTTGGACCAGATACCTGAATGCTGAACAAAGAAGTGAATTTCACAAATGAACCAGTAAATGAACCATTCAAGAAATGTCTTCTTCATCCTCAGTAATAAACCTTTTTTTTGGCATTCCTTTTCCAAAATTATGACTGCCCATATTTTCCAACAACAATAAAATTAGATGAATTCATAAGTTATATGTTTGACACTTACTTCGGCTGCACCAGAGTTGCTACCAACAACACCAGATGCCACCATCTTCAGAGTCCGTTCAACATCACTACCTACTTCCTCTGATAGGTAATTGTGAGAGCTTTGGTCCATTACATTTGAATGAATGATGGAAGAGTAAGGTAAGTCCTAGGAAAATATAAGACTAGCTTGGTTAAAATACAGGTAGGTAAGCAAAAAGAATATGCAAGAGCCACAAATGCACAAACTAACTCATCGTGCAATGGAAATACTGAAATTCAACAACTAACAATAACAATATGCCCCATTGACTACCAGACATGGCGGAAGTAAAACAATATCAACAAAAAGTTCCCATAAACATTTCTGATAACAAAACTGCATCATTCTATTCCAAGGAGCAAGGAACTAATCTATCATTAGAAAGAAAAGTAGATGCCTTCAATCAAAATTCAATCTTTATAGGAGAAACAACCTTCGATACTGCAACCCCTGACAATTTTATATACATTACTACATATTCAAAGCATATAACACATCCAAATTGATATGCCAGCAGTCATTGCCTATATAGTACTATGAACCCATATATATATATATATATAACAAACTAAAGAAGCTCTAAAAATCACATATAGCATTCAATGAAGAATTTTTTTTGTTCCTGATTGAAATTGAAACGTAAGAAGAAAAACAGCCACACCAACATACAAAAATAAACAAGAGTTGTAAAGCAACCTGATTGGAGGCGGCTCTTTCAATGGCAGATCCAAACCAGCCATTAACACAAATCTTGAAAACACCTAAAAACAAACAAACCCCACAAAAAACCAAGAACATCCAATGACCAAGCTTCTTCTTTTCTCTGAAACCCAATTGTAAAACCACAGATCCCACGACCGGCCTCTTCAACAAACTCCTCAAATGAACTCTCTGGCTCACATGGTTCCCAACCTGCTGCTTAAACTCAGACGTATCACACGAACCCGAGCTGGGTCCAATCTCAGATCTGGGTGAGTTCACTGGCACATCAATTTCATGATGGGTACTAAAACTAGAACCACTGGCGTTAGTATTTATCTCGTTAACATTGTTAAAAGTATTGTTAGTATTGCGCTTGAAAGAGTGAGCACGCCGAGTCATTGAGCCCGTGAATCGCGGGCTGTTGACGCGCTGATGAGAAACTCCTCCATCGGTGGTGTTGTGATGGTGATGATGACCCATGATTGTGATGTGTTAGCACTATATATGGTTGTTACAACAAGTAATTGGATTTTGCGGAGATTGCCATCAACAAACTCAACTCAACGGATTAAAGAAGATAGAGATTTTTGCTGATTGCACGCTCTTATAACTTATCCCTCCAAAAACCCAAAAAGTCTGAAAGCCGCGTTTCACGTTAGAAGAATATTTGAGATTTAGTTTACAGAATTTACAGACAATGTTGAGAGGTAAACCAACTTTACTTACTATTTCTGATTAAATGTCTTTGCATTACGGTGATATGGAAACGTGTTTTTGGAAAGTGTTTTATAAAAACAGTTTTCATTTCTTATGAATAAGTTAGTATAGGATTTTTTACAATATTTTTATAAATATCTTCTTTTAAAATATTTATGGGTTTGATTTATTATTTTAGATAGAATTTTGGGATAGTATTAGATAATTGAATATGGGAGTATTACGAGGTAAAATTTAAAAATTTATAAAAAAACCTCCTAAGTTTGCTAATTTAATAAATACCCTAACATGTAAATGACAAAAAATCCTCTACCACCTGCAGTGCTAGATTCCGGCCACCATCGTTGGAATCTGATCAGAAAATCGCGTTACGACACAGATCGGTCGGATCTGTGTCGTAATGCGTTGTTATGGCCTTTTCCGGTCAGATCTACCACGGATCTGACCAGAAAAGGTCAGATCTACAGCTTGCTGTGGCCGTCATTTTCGGTCAACGATGGCCATTTCTTTGGTCGTCCTTCACGGCCAGATCCATGGTGGATTTGGCTGGAAAAAGTCAGATCGATGAACTTTTGGTCATTTATGGTCGATAGGTAGACCATTGTACAGATTCCGATTACCACCGACGGTGGTTATCGGAATCTGGCAAGTATAGGTTGCGGGGGTTTTTTGATAATTTTTAAATTTTTTTTAGGATGTATTTGATGAAATTAATAATCTTATAGGGTTTAAAAATAATTAAAAAATAGGATAATATTTTTGGATTAATGTTCCAAATATTATTTGGAGAATAGGATTAAAAATAAGGATAAAAATAATAAATATGACCTATATTTCCATTAAAATGAGTTACAGTCATAATTATGAAAATGACGGTTCTCGTAGTTATGAAAAGTTAATTAATATAATAAGTATGTCTTGGACTTTTATTCGCGAAAGTGAACCTGAATCAGAAAAAATTATTCCACGTAAGCATATTGTAACTTTTGTTTTTTACTGTTTAGATTTATATATTTCAACTAATTTTTTGAATTTTAAAATCGGTAGCTGAATATAAAAATCACCTTTATCAATAACTATTGGATTTAAGATCTTTCAAATAATACATTTAAAAATTTTATTTAACCATTAAATTATTTAGTAGTGGTTTATAACTTTCTTATGTTACCGTTTATTTTATTCATAAAAAAAATTAATTATTTAATATCAATTTATTAATTAGTAATTATATGAAAATTTAATGAAACCGTGAAGAAGCTGCCCAATGATCCCCTTTGTTGACACAAATATTATAATAAATAAGTAAACAATTTGGACTAAATCATGCCCACCAAAATTGACTAACCAAACAATTATCAATAGCATTATAACTAATTTTAAAATGAAAATTCGCATTGATTTGCTAGAAACAATTTGATGCTTAAGTCTACATTGTAATTATTCTGGTGATCAACAATCATGATTAATCACAATGTAGCCTGCTACCAACAAACATAAATAAAACCAAAAGCTGCCACGTTGTTACTATTAGATTGAATGATAATTAACATTTTGTTATAATATAAAAATAATACTGTTGGGTCAACATACTGTGACTTAATTTTTTGATATTCTTTATGAACCCTTTCTCTTATTATAAGAGTTGGCATTAACTGCCACTGCCTTTAACCTTTATCTTGCCATCCTTGGATTAATAAAGAAGAACAGTTCATAATAAGTATAAAGAATTAACCCTTAAAATAATTAATATATCTCCAATTCAAGTTTATTATAATTAATTACTATATAATTCATGATTATTATATAAATAATTTAAAATAATTATTAATAAAATCAAGATGATATGAATGGTTTGAGTGTTTATAATTTTAAAATAAATATTCAATTAATTTAAAAAGTTGTTAAGTATTTTTAATATAACTATTTTATCCAATCTTATACTTCACCAAACCATAGACTGTACTATTATCATACTAATCCAATGCAATCCAAACCATAGACTGTACTGTATTTAAGAAATAAAGTATTACTTATACAAAGGTTGGGACAAATAGATATCATGAAAAATTAATTACGATGGATTTACTTCAGTATTTAAAATGTTATGTCAAACAGGGATGATAGATAAAAGACTTCTTCCTATTATTCAAATATAAAAGACTTCAATATATATATGTCCCAAAGTAACCATTCTTAGTTCTGACTTAATGTGTCTGTAATGCATTTACTTAAATATTAGCCTGCAATTAAACTTTGAAATCATATTTCAGTAGTATTAATATTATCTTCTAAGAACCAATTCAATTTGCAAGTACAAAGTACAAACATACCCTTCAATAAAATTCAATAGAGATCTCTCTCATTCATGGCATGGATGTCTACATTCATTTCACCTGTGTATTCCCTTGAAAATGATATATATACCATTGGCTTTTCTTCTTTTCTTTTCCCAACTAATGTAAGTCGTTCATCTCTCCTGAAGCTGAATTTGGATATGTAAAATTTGCTCCCCGAAGACAAATTATACCTTAAGCACTGCACCTCACCTACCCATCTCTTGCTTCAACTTCAAATCACATCAATAATTCCATTTCCAAATCTCCTTTCATTTTACCACCTATCTATTTCATGTAGTTTGCAAATACATCCTGGAAATGGATTCGCATAAAAACTCCTCCAGCTTCGGAAAATCTCAGCCTCCCTAAGATATGGAGCTCCATCTCTGTCTTTGTGTAGCTTTTTCACTTTCGAACTGAATTTCTTCCATGAAATTTTTCCTTCATCATATTCATCAACAAGTTTGACAAAATTCATCCTGAAAAGTAGGTTTCAATGAAATTATATTCACGTTTAGGATGGAAATCGACAACATGAGCTAAGATAGGTCAGAATTTTACTTGTCTGGATTGATAGTCTTCTTGAAGTTCTCAAACCGCCTATGACCTTGAAATGCCTTTGCCATATTTCCATCATAGGTATATAGAAATACATCACTCTGTAGCGCAAACTACATAGTCTAAACCAGCCAACATGTTCTGGTGATTTTCAAAAGAATTCAATTCTTCTTCTGTACAGAGAGTGGAATGAGAGTAGATGTTAGGAAAGGCATCGTTAAGTATTGCATGCTTCCTTCCCGTAAGCTTCACCAGCTACCAAATAAATCCTGGTGCTGGCTGGGAAACCAGCCCTTGAGCAGAAGTGAAGTCTCTCTAGGGGTCAATGGGCAGCCGCCAAGCAATCTTTTTTTGTTCCAAATCTCCTTCTCTTCCAATGGTTAACTGTATCGCATCCTACGAAGCTCATCATCTTCTTCCACTGTCAAATTATGACTGCACCCCGTAAATGCAAGCTATCCTTTTCGTACCTATAACAAAAAAGAGCAAGCATAATCTATACACAGGTTGAAGACAAAACTAAATTTTTTCATTTAAATCTTTATGGGAATTTGAACATTTAGTGGTTTCGATCAGAAATCAGTAGCTGAGTTAGCATGAGTTCAGGTACACCGAGTAACAGTTCAGAGATAACAACATTTATTAGAAAACCTAGAAGTCAAAATAAAGCTTCCCATTTTGTATAGACCCCGGGGACAATCAGATCACATTCCCTAATGCCAAAGCTCTAACTCACAAACTAAAAGGTAGTTCTGCAAAATCATATTCAATCTAAATCAATTGTCTAGATTGAAACCGAAAGTGACTGAGCCTGCGTTTGTCTCGGAATGATGCAATTGTCTCAAGATAATCAGATAAAGCAGATAGTTTAAAGTTTCTCTTATTTGCTGTCAGGATCAGAACTGTAGATATTATAGTGGGATTTAATTTCATGAACAAAAATATAAAAAGTTAGTATATTGATAGCCTTTAGAAAAACAAAATGGAACATCTGACTTCAAAAAGAGAGAGCAAATAATACACACATTATATTTTTTTTAAAAGGTCAAGCCAGAAACACCCGAGGAAAAAAGAAAAATTTTCCACTCACTCAGTCTTAAAAAAGTATCAGAACTTGCTCAAATGAAGAGCAAGATATGGGCCCCCATTTTCTTGCATTTAGAAACCAAGGTATTTCCCAGTTGTTCTATGGGGGCTGAATACTTTAATGCCCTATAATTTACACGGCACCTCAGCTTTTGTATGGATCTTGGGATTCCATTGTTGGCACATCGAGAATCAGTATGGGTAAAATAGATTACTTTGTGCTGCTTCAACAATGGGAGCACCTCTGTTTTGTAATAACTAACCTGAACAAAAGAATTCAGTTAATAGATTATTACTCCATCTAGAGAAGATTACAACAATAGGAGTTATATAGCAAAGAAACTTCAAACAATGGCAAATCATAATCACTTGTATGCTGGTGTGAATATCTTAATTATTTAAAGTGCATTGGCGTTTAATGACATGTGGCTTAGTGCCTACTCTAGTAGTAAACATAAGACCTGCCGATGGTGTTTTGTCCAGCAGATGCTGAGCAGCTGAATTATAGTTAAAACATGTACTGACCTTAGACCAGATATCGGTGTTTTGTTGAAAGGCTCAATAGAAGCATAGGCAGGTGGTAATTTCTCAACTACATGGATATCAGCCTCAAGTGTTTTGATGAAATGTTTCCAATCAAACAGATCTTTGAAGCCACTGCAGTGTATAAATGAGATGGATTAGATTAGATAGATCATTACAGGAAAACCAAGAGATATGTAGTAGTTTATTAGTTATACTAGATGTCACACAGAAATAATTTTTGTTTCAGAAAGAATGCAAATACAACTTCCAAAATGACAAATGTATGTGCCAAATGTTTAAGGTAGCAAGAGAGTAAAAGAGAGGAGAAATGGTAAAATTTCTGGATTATGAATCCACTTTGCAACCAATTTAGCACAGGATGTTCAAAACTTAACCACAATTTTCGTGACCAAGTTATTCAACATTCAAGAATCGACTTAAATGTCATTGGTTAATCAGCAATGCTAAAAGTTGAGTTTGATGTTTATACATGTTAAAAGAGTAAAATGACAAACACCATTTCAGA